TGGGCGCCGTGGACGTGGCAGAGGTGCACTCGCCGCATCGGTTCTCGGCTCGGGCGGCGGAGTTTCAGCTGCGCCCGGGCTTCGCGGCGGACCTGGAGGAACTCAAGGAGGACGGGACGCCGTGGGACTTGCGGCGACCCGAGGACATCAAGGAGCTCGAGGAGCTGCAGGAGCGGATGGATCCCATCCTGCTTACGGGGTCCCCTCCATGCGAGAAGTTCAGCTTGCTGAGGGGCCTGAGCGCCAAGTTCAGGACCGATGAGCAGGAGGCGGCTGAGATGGAGGAGGCCAGACACCACCTGAAGGTGGCAGTCGACGCCTACTGGCGTCAGCTCAGGAAACCAGGCAGGTACTTCCTGCATGAGCATCCCTGGAGCGCGCGATCGTGGGATGAGGACATCGTCAAGGAGCTGGTCGCGCATCCAGGAGTCTTCACGGTCAAAGGCCCCATGTGTCGGTGGGGCATGAAGCTCACGAACCCACGCAGTGGCCAGGAGGAGTTCGTGCGCAAGGAGACCGGGTGGGTCACCAACCACCCAGGCTTGGCTCGGAGACTGCAGGGCACTTGCAGCAATGTGGACGGACGCGCGGAGTGGCATCGCCACATCACGCTCGTGGGCGGCATCGCGCGGTTCGCGAAGGTCTATCCACCGAAGTTGGTGGAGGCGGTGCTGGAGGAGCTCAAGGACACGCTGAACGACGTGGGGGAGCTCAGCACCGCCCAGGTGCAGCAGTCGGGCCCAGTCCCTGTGGACGCGGCGGTGCCGCCCGGGGACTGGACGAGCTATTGGGACGACGTCAACGGCGGCTACCTGGAGGCGGGCCTTGTGGCCCAGGCTCGCGCGGTCGAGCGCGAGTGGGTCAAGAAGCAGGAGCTGATCGAGATCGTCCCGAGGTCTCAGGCTTTCGCTGAGACTGGGCGTCCGTCCATCCCACTCAAGTGGGTCGACGCGAACAAGGGCGACGCGGAGAGGCCCAACTACAGGAGCAGGCTCGTCGTGAAGGAGATCAAGGCGAAGAAGCGTCCGGACGAACAGCTGGAGGCGTCCGAGGTCTTCTCGGCAATGCCTCCTCTGGAGGCCATGCGATCACTGGTCTCGCTGATGGTCACGTGGACGCGGGAAGCACCGCTCCACATTCAGGAGTCGCTTCGCAAGAAGGGCAGGAAGCCGGGCAACTTCAAGATCGGCTTCTTCGACATCAGCAGGGCGCACTTCTACGGGAAGGCGCAGCGAAGGATCTTCGTGGAGCTGGAAGAGGAGAGTCGCAAGGAGTACGGCGAGGACAAGTGTGGCTTACTCCTCAAGTCCTGGTATGGCACGCAGGACGCCAGCAAGATCTGGCAGGGCGACTACACGGAGCTGTTGGAGGAACACGGCTACAAGGCGGGCGTGTCATGCCCAGCGGTCTTCTACAAGGAGGAGGACGAGACGAGGCTGCTGGGGCACGGCGACGACTTCGCGGTGCTGGCTCAGCAGCAGGACATCGACAGCTTCGAAGCCACGTTGGGCAAGAAGTACGAGTTCAAGAAGACTGCGAACCTCGGCTTCGACGAGGGCGACGACAAGCAGGCGGTCTTCCTGAATCGGGTCATCGAAGTCAGTGCGGGAGTTCCGCCTGGCGGTGGCCGGCCCTGCCGGCATGCGATGATTGAGCCGGACAAGCGGCACGCAGAGATCGCGATCGACGAGCTGGGTCTCAGCAAGGCCAACGGCGTGGACACGCCGATGGAGAAGCGCAGCGCCGACAAGCAGATGATGGACGCGAAGTCAGCGGCGCTGGGAACGGCGGAAGCTTCGCGCTTCCGATCCCTCACCATGAGGGTAGCCTACCTGTCTCAGGACAGGCTGGACTTGGCGGAAGCATCGAAGACGCTCGCCAGGTCTATGCAGACGCCGACGGAGGCGAGTTGGCTCATGCTCAAGAGGGTTGGCCGCTACCTCAAGCGGCATCCCAGTACGGTGACGGTCTTCACGGAGCAGAAGATGTTCGACAAGATCCGGGTGTACGTGGACTCCGATCATGCGGGCTGTGCAGTCACTCGGAAAAGTACGGGAGGCTTCGTGGCGATGCTGGGGCATCACGTCATCAAGCACGGCAGCAATCTGCAGTCGACGGTCTCTCTGAGCAGTGGGGAGAGCGAGTACTACGCCCTGGTCAAGGGCGGGAGCGTGGGCCTGGGTCTACACAGCCTCTTCGCAGACTGGGGGCTGGACCTGAAGGTGGAGCTCGCCTCAGACTCATCGGCGGCCCGGGGCCACGTCCAACGGCGAGGTCTCGGGAAGATGCGACATGTTCAGTCACGATACCTGTGGATCCAGGAGCGTGTGGGCAAGGGCGACCTTTCGATCGCCGCAGTTCCTGGTAAGAACAACGTCGCGGACGTGCTGACTAAGAGCGTGGGCGGATCTCTCTTGAGGAGACACATGGCGACGCTCAACATCTGGGATCGGGCACCGAGTTCGACCCAGAAGGATATCAAGTGAAGGAGTGGATCGAATCCATGCTCCGCTACCTGTGGGGCTGGATGAGTTTCCGCCGGTGGCGGTAGGATCGCACCGGACGGGTGAAGTGAGGGGCTCGCGGCATGGCCGCAGCCCGGCTGACGAAATGGGCGCGTCGGCTTGGACGCGCCCGCGTGTGACGAGATGGGCGCGTCGGCTGGGACGCGCCCGCGTGTGACGAGATGGGCGCGTCGGCTGGGACGCGCCCGCGTGTGACGTTGAGATGGGCGTGTCGGCTTGGACGCGCCCGCGTACGACGCATGTCGTGCCTGGCCGGGTTGGCGGCCAGGCCCGAGGAGGAGTGATTCTGACACCCTCCTCCGTGTACCTATTTTGGCTCAAGATGAAAAGAGATCTTGTTGCTAATCAACACATTATCTCATCACTTGTCATCGGCCAGGCAGCGAGGCCACTGCGAGCCTGCAGCAGCACCCCTCCATGCCCCCGCCAACCTTACCGTGGTTGGCGCTGGCGCGAGAGCTCCCTTCCAGCCGAACATCTCCAGCTTCTTTAGCGCTTGTGTTCAGTTGGGGCCCGCAAGGTGATGTTCCACACATTCGTGCAGGCCCAATCCACCCTCGTCCCTGTCGCGTCGCTCTTCAATCTCCTTCATGACGACCCAGCCTTTGTGACCCCAAACTCGTCATGTTGGTGAAGTAGATCTCGAACCCATCTTTCTTGCTATTGCCCCAGCGATGCGATGCCCTTCCCGTGTCAAGGCCCCCCCCCCCGAGCCGCCCACTGCTGGTCGCGTGCTGTGGCACAGGGGCCGGGCGGGACCAGGGAATGATCGGAGGGGCAGTCCTTGCCCTTTTCGGGGTCCATGTCCCGAAGAGGGTTCGCCTCTCCTGTGTCAGCGCCGCCCCACCGCGTTTGCCCCTGGCTGGTCGCGTGCACGGCAGTGGGGGTTGCTCCGCCTGCGCTGCCGCCTGCTTTGTGCGCAGACGCTCGATCTCCTCCTTGTTTGTCTCTTCATCCAGCTCCTTCGTCATTCGCCCGAGCATGGCGATCCTCTCCCGTAGTTTATCAGGTGGTCCAGTGCCGTCAGCGGTGTCGCCCCTAGCCTGCTCCGAGCCGACCGCTGGCGCATCTACCAGCCGCCCGCAGGCACCCTTCCAAGGCTGAGCCTCAAGCAAGGCTTGGACCGTGGTGGCGAGTGGGGCGATCGATCAGCTCGTGCTCTCGGGCTGCTTGGCAGATGCCCCCCCCCCCTCCCCCCAAGCTGAGGGGGAGACCCAGGTGTGGGCCCTCGATCACCCTGATGTCTCTTAGCATTCCGACGGAACCCCAACGAGGATTCTTGGGCCCCGCCAGGACCGCTGGTTCCCCAGTCCCTCGGCTCAGCTAAGCCTCTGCGCGGTTCGAGTGCCCTCAGGCAGAGATTTGTTCCCACGGGAGCTCACACAGGTCGGGCAAGTGGGGAGGGTGGCGAGGCACAGCCGCCTCTTCCCACAGGCCCCACAGGCTGTCCTGGCCAGCTGGCTGCTCTGAGAAATGGCAACTTGAGCCGCAACGGCTTCAGCCAAAATGACCACGGTCGTCCTCCCGTTCCTCCTCCTTCCTCGTCCTCCTCGTGCTCTGCCTGGTCCCTCGTCCTCCTCGTTCTCTTCCGCACCATCCCCTGCCCTGTTACCGCAGCGCGTGCGCACAGTTCGCGCGATGCCAGCCTTCGCAGCGTCGCGGCCCAAGCCCCCAGCTGACTGCAGCGCGCGCGCGACGGGCCACTGAGTTGCAGGTCGGCGCGGCCCCTCCGAGCAGGAGGAGAAGGAGGCGGAGGAAGAGGGAGGAGGAACCTCCCCGTATGAGGGGCGGTGAGGGAGCGCGCTGGCTCCCGACTACAGAGCACCCTCGGCAAAGGGACCCGCGGCGCTCGGAGGAGGAGGCTGAGGAGGAGAAGCAGCAGAGGCAGTAGCAGCAGCAGCAGCAGCAGCAACAGCAGCAGCTGGGGGCACAAGCGCCAGGGAGACTCGACCAGCTCCTGCCCGCCCTCGTCTTCCCACGAGCTGCTGCTGCCGCTTGCCCGCGCCCCTGGCGGCTTATCTGCAAACGAGGGGAGCAGCATCATGAGAGGAAAAACCACACCGATCCCCATAGTCTGCGTTTACTAACTGGGCCCAGGCGTTTACTAAACAGCCCTGCCCTGTTCGATTCCCTCCTCGGATGCGTTGGCTAGACGCCTTTGCTTGTCCAGGTGTTCTCGATGAGGGCGGTTTGTCTGCTCTCTACAGCAGGAGAAGCGCGTGTGAACACGGCAGGTTCGCGTCGTGCCAACGCGGCGGCAGCCCCGCCGCGGGCATTCGATGTTGAGCGCCGCCAGTGGCCCAGAATCGGCCAGCATGGGAGGACCCGGCGATCTTCAAGATCGAACGATCCACGCGGTGTCAGAGACCAACGCCAGGGCCGTCACGACGCGAATTTGCCGTGCATTCGGAGTTTCAGGCCGCCCTTCCTCGTCGCTGGCGGCACCCCTGCTGCCACTCGCCGGGGTCAGATGCGATGTTGCGGCGGGCGCCCGTGCGCCTCTTCTCGCGCGACACGCTCCATGGGCACACGAAGCAGTGGCTGCAGAGGCAGTCGAAGGACAGGTGGGTGGCGAGGGCCCACGAGCAGGAGTTCCTGGCCGCCCAAATGGGGCTGGAGTAGTCTAGGCCTCCCAGGTGGGGTCCGAGTAGATGGTCGGAGGATCGCGCCGCATCACCGATGCATCGCCGATGCATCTCCGATGCGGCTCGATGTGGAGCCCGATTTTCACCACGCAGGCGGCGCCGATGCATTGCCGACGTTGCCCGTGCATCACCGATGCATCGGCGACGCGGCGCGATCCTCCGACCCCATCTACACCTTAGGCGATGCTTAAGAAAACTTAAGGTTTCGGCCTGAGTCTCGATGATTCTTAACGTGTCAATGAAAACATTAAGATGTTAATAGAAATGTTGGGTTTTTACTCAAGTTCTGAGACTATGAATTTCTTAACCCATGATGTCTTAAGCATTTCGCAGGGTGTACTCGGACCACATCTAGAAGGCCTCCAAGTAGAGACGTGTCAGGGGCAGCACTGCGGTGGGGTGGGGTAGGCTCAGGGCGTGACGCATCGACCCCCAGCCGCCCATGCACAGACGACAGGGGCCCGATAGCCCACTCCGCCCACCAGCGCGTGGGTTCGCTATCGGGGGTCTATCGCCGATTCCAGCTCGATGTGTACCCTCCCCTTGAGCCGTCCCCCCCCGAACGGCCCCCTCAAGATAGGGATGGCGATCGCGCCGCATCGCCGATGCAGCGCACCGGCGTTGTGGTACGATCCTCCGACCCAATCTGCTCTGGGCCCCTTGGGGCGGCCTCCAGGAGTACAGGTCCAGGTCGGCCTACAAGCTGAAGCAGCTGGACACCAAGTTCTCGTTCCTGAAGAAGAACGGTGTCATCTCGAATGGCAAAAGCTGAGGAAGCATATACTTTCGGAGGTCCTTGCAGGCTTCTTGGGTGGGCGCTGGACCCTCCTCCCCTGCGCCGACCCGAGAAATCTGCTCGGAACACTGCAAGTGTAGTGCAGGTTCGCGTCGTGCCGACGCGGCGGCGACCCTAGCGCGGGCGTTCAAGGTTGAGCCCAGAATCGGCCAATATGGAAGGACCAGGCGATTGAAACGTCGCCGAGCGTTCAGGATTGATCGATCCACATGTAACATTGGTGTCATCGCGACTTGAACCTGCCGCATGCTTATGTGCTGTTGTTGCTATTCTGCTATCGTAGACCTCGGCTGCTTTGCTGGGGGCTGGTCGCAGGTGGCGCTGCAGCGCACGGGCGTCGGCCAGGGGCGGGGCACGGGCGCGGTGATAGGCGTGGACAAAGTCAGGATGGAGCCGCTGGGGCAGCACCAGTTCGTGCTTGGCGACGTGACCGAGCCAGCCACCTTGAAGCAGGTACAGACTCGCCACCATGAAGCAAACGGGTCCGGATCAGATAGGCCTAGGTTGAAGATGATTCGCTCCCGACCGTTCCAGAACGCTCTGGGAGCGTTCTGGAGCGCTCTGAGCCGGCCGCGGCGCCCGGTACATCCTCCACAACTCGCCAGCTCTCGGGGAATCCTAGTGTATCTTCATCCGGATGTTCCTTCATCCTGTCTGCATCTTGCCCTTGCCTGAGTGAGACTGGTTTGAATCTGTCTCCGTTTTAGGAATCCGGGGGCCGTCCCCAGGCCCAGGGACAATCAAGCATAACGACTCAGGGCGATAAGCTGGTCCCGTTTCCGTCATGGCAGCAAGCTGGGGGAGTTGAGGACCTCATTCCCCTGGGGAACCCCTCGGCTTCGACACACCTGCTGAGAGGTCGTCGGCGCGACGGGTTCTCCCACGGTGGTAGGCACAGCTTCCGCAGTTGTGGCTCTTCCGAGGTGGAGGAGCTCTTGGAAGGACCCGGACTTTGCTCTCTGCATTTGTCCTTCGTTCTCTCTCCCTGCTTCCGCCCTTCCCCTCCCCTCCCCTTCTCGCCACGTCGTTTTGCCTCCACCTTTCATAGCAACGCAGCAGCGTCCTCCATCGTCCCTCCTCTTCCGTCGCTCCTATCCTCCCTCAACCGTCTCTCCTTCATCCTTCCTCCTCAAACGTTGGCACCAGCACGCCGTGGGTATACTCATTACGGGATTCTGACTCGCATGTACATACGTCTTTGAGCGCACACGTTTTCAGTTTTGGGATTTTCTTTGTGAGACCACGTATCCTATGTTTTGTTTGGGCAAAGCCTCTGCTAGTTCGTATCCTCTGGAGAACACGTATGGCAGCCCAGGAATCATTCATGGTCTGGCATCCTGGTACGCGCTTGGAACGCTTCAAAGCAATTGTGGGATCTGGGTTAGGAAGCCCGTGTGTATTCTTGGACTGTCGCTCAGCCGCGCTGAAGATTGCTACGACGACGTGGCAACTCGAAGCTCTATACATCGAGGTTTCTAAAGCAAGTTCAGTACCATTTTTAACATGTGCATTGTTGGTCTCAGCTTGTCTACTTACTGTGTTTCGACGACAACATGTATTTGAGGGCCAGGAAATTTGCTTGACCACCAATGCAATCCACAGACCAGATGACATATCATAGCCAATTCAGGCTTGTGAGTTGAATGATTCGATTGCCCTGCTCTGCCGATGGAAGCCCAGAATCGCTTTACTCAGAAAACGAATCCCTCGGAGACATTGCTGTGGTTGTTTGGAGCAGTGGTCGGAATCCGTCCTGATCCAGCCGAGTCTCGCCTAACCCCGCTCTCCCGCTTTAGTATCATCCTTCAGCTCTTACTCGTTCCCGTGAAGACGTCCCAACAGGAGTTGCCTCCGAGTCACTTGTCTCCAGAGGACGCTCTCGAACGTTGGACTCGTCTCTCCAGCTTTTTCTCTCGGCTGTCTGGACGGGAGCTGCGCTGGCGCAGGCGGCGCCGGGGGGGTACAGCACAGATCCAAGGGATCCCTTCGGACCTGCCACAGCTTGTGCTCATGCTGATTGTTGCCCTCCCTAATGCCGCTGCTCTCCGGGGTTGTTCACCTTGGGGGGGTGCCTCCAGGCGAGTGGTGTGTGCGTGAACCCTTTTAGTAAGCACGCCCTGCCAATAGAAGAAACGGGGCCGCTGGGGTGCTCGAGCTGTTTCACAGCGCCCGGCTGCTGTCGCGTCGGCGCCACTGTTCCTGCCCACGCACTTACTTATGACGTGCACGGTGACATGTTCTTCTTATCATTTTTCTTATTCTTCTTCTTCCCCTCTCCGTGGCCGCCCTCTTCTTCCTCCGCCTCCCTGGTGCTACTTCGCCGACTCGCATCCCCACCTGGGCCCACGCGCTGTCTGAGCGGTCGCCCGCGCCGCGACAACACAACTGTTGCTGCTTCTCTCCTGAGATCCGATGCCACGAAGAACATGCAACAGCGTAAAGACAGTCGACCAGAACCCTTAACCCAATCCTTCTTTGCACTTCCAAGGAAGGCCGATCCGCGAGGGTCCCTGGGCCCGAAGCAAGGCAGGATCGCCCACTGTGAGAAGGCTGCAGCCTGCGCCAGGACCTCGGGGGCTGCCCCCCCCCCCCACACACACACTTCAGGAGGGGAAAAAACACAAAAACACACAGACACAATTAATCGTCGATTCCCCAGAAAGTATGGGAAAATATGGGAATTGGGCGGGAAGACAAAAACCCAGAACATATGGGGAAATCTGGGGAGCCATCTTATTTGTGTGTATTGATTTGTGTGTCCCAGGGCCCCTTCCACACTGTGGCCGTCTGGGCCCAGGCCGCGCGCACGGGGCGCGCGGAGCACGGCCCCGGGGGCGCGCGCCGCCGCGCGCACGCTCCGACGCCGAGCCCGCCGCTCGTGCGCGGCGCACCGCTTGGGCTCTGGCAGCGACCGGGGGGGGGGGGAGGTCTTCGGGGGAGGACGCATCGACGCCCAATCGCCCATCGATCGCCGATACTCAGGAGCGAAAGAAGGACGTACATGTACATGAATCCACGCTGGTTTCGAGAGCACGCATTGCACAAATGTTCGTATAACGCGGCAGGTCTCGCGAATCGAGGGGCCGTGTTCATGTACATAGCTGGGCGCGTACGTCCTTTGTGGGCTCCCTAGATACGGGGGCCCGGTAGCTCCGACCCTCCAGGGAAGGTGTGGGAATTCGCGATCGGGGGCCTGCCGCTGATCTATCGGGGATGTACCGCCGATCTATCGGCGATGCGTCTCCCCCCTGAGCTGGTCCCCCCAGCTGGTCCCCTCCGAAAACGCTCGAGGAACGAAACAGCACATAAACGCAATCTTTCGGAGGTCCGCGCTGATTTCTTGGATCGGCGCTGGACCCCTTTCCTGGCGCGTGGAGCGCGCCAGGGGCGACGCCGGAGGCGCCGTCAGAGGGCTCCAGCACCGCTTCAGGAAGTCTGCACGGACCTCCGAAAGTTCACGGCCGTGCCATGTTTCTTGTTTCTCGGAACGTCGCCCCCTGCAGCTTGGCAAGAAGATCGGCATGCACCGCGTGCGGGCGCTGGCCCGCCACGTGGCCGCCGACGGCAGCGACCGGCCAGCGCAGCCAGCCAGCTGCCCCGGGGCGGCGGCGGCCTGCGCCGGCCTGGAGCAGGCCGAGCCGCGGGCCGAGCCGCGGGCCGAGCCGCGGGCCGGACGGGCCGCGGGCGTGCCGCGCCGGCCAGAGGTGCAGCGGGCTGTGGAGGCAGTGCGGAAGGTCAGGTCCGTGCAATCGGCATGGCCAGCAAGAAGGGGTGGGACGCCGTTCGAGGTTTTGGTTTCGGGAAGTCTGTTTTGCCTTTTCTGGTTCCCGGGACCATCAAAAACAGATCCGGGGTGAGATATTGCATCAGATGGGCCCCGGGAGGTATCCAGGGACCGATGTTGGATTTGGCCTCATCCCCCATCGTGGTCCTGGATTTCGGTATGATCGAGATGAGTACGAAAGGAATGGGTAAAAAAAGACTGGCCGCAGCTCCTGTCCATATTGAGCAGGGCCCGCTGCCAGCGTATCCGCTTGACACAGAAGGCCACCTGCCCAACAGCGATCGCTGTCGGTTTTGGAAGACATGTCTGCTTGGGTATAGTGTACTCATGCTTTCCGTACCCATTTCGGTCGTCGAAATCATGATCCATTTCGATTTGGTCGATCCGATTCGACTTCGGAGTCAGCCTACCCGATTCGATTCGACGCCTATTCAATCGGGCGGCCCGATGCGGCCTGGTGCCTGCATGGCAATGGCGCTGCTGTGCATCGTGGGGCAGCCGATCCTATTTGATTTCGATCCCGTGCCGACGCAGCCCGATCCGACGTACATCGTTGCGTGATATCTGGTCCTGCGCCAAACCTCTGTGTCGGTTTCGGAGGTCGCCGTGGCGTTCGCGGCGGTCGCAAATCGGGCCGATTATCACTGAACCACCGATGTACATCTTGAATCGACCCGATCTGCCGATTCGATGCTGACTGTTCCCGGAAGGTACAGGTGGATGCCGAGAGGCTGCTGGCCGACGGCACGTGGCCGCACTACACCGCGTTCGACATCGGGGTCCTGACCAAGCCTGGCGGCGCGCACAATCATGGGCGAAAACCATTTTCTGGATTTGGAGTCGGCTCGGGGTCTGAGGTGGGCCAGTACTGGCGCCGGCCAGCAGGAGGGGGGGTGGCAGGTTCGAGATGCTGGGCTCGGGCAGCTTTTCTGCAGTTTTTTGGCCTCCAGGGGTAATTTTCGGGCCCCTTGGCCGTCAAAATTGGATCCGCGGAAATAACTATACCAGATGGACCCCGCGAGGGGTCCGGGGACAGATTTTGACTGGATTTGCCTTGGTCCCCCACTCTGGATCAATTTTCTGGGGCCCCCTCCAGTTCAGACCCCCCCGCCGCCTCCAATCTCGAATGGGGCAGTAGTTACCGAAGGGGGGGGAGTGACCTTCCGAGGGAGCTTGCCCATCCCCCCCCTCTCCCCTCTCCCTTCTCCTCCTCATTCTCCCTTCTCCTCATCCTCTTCCTCCTCCTCCTCCTCCTCCTCCTCCTCCTCCTCCTCCTCCTCCTCCTCCCCTTCATGACTTCCGGCTCCGGCCACCGTTGCCCGTGTCGCACCCGCCACTGGCGCTTGGCATTCTCGGCGCGCCCGCGACGGACGGCACGTGTTGAGCAGATGTTCGCCTTTTCGCGTTCTCTTTTTCCCCGCATGTCCCGCCCGTAGTCCGACTGGCGTCAGTGCCGCTCTCGCACTCCTGCGCCCGCTAACTGAAAGCTTTTTGGGCAGCGGCGGTGGGTATGTATAGATCTCGTCGCCCGACGATGGAGTCCTGCGCCCGAGTCCGTTCAAAATCGCTCCAACCGCGGCGACGAGGGGCCCCGCAAGGCCAAAAAGTTGACTCTCTTGCCTCAACTGGCCCTCCTGCGGATGGTCACCTCCCAGGGTCCAGTTCGATCCGATC